CCCCCCCCCCCCCCCTGGTCTGGTTGCCGCCACCGCGAAATGCCCGGCGCGAAGGGTTACGCTCGCGGGAGCGGAGCGGGACAAATTGAACCGGTGAACCGAATAGGAAATAAATTGGATTAACGCGAACGCCGAAGTTAAGCTGTCGGCCGCGATATCGGACGCGTGAGTACGCGAGCATGAGGGCAGGTGAGAAAGTCCCGACGTGAAAACGTTATCCGATACCATCTGGAAATAGCGCGGAGTGAAGCACCTCCGAAAACGGGATTAGCGAGTCGGCCATATGTATATTTTGCATAGAGTGTAATCGATACATTAGTGGATCCTTCGGTATTAACTGCGTTCGCTCTCTCTCTCTCTCTCTCTCTCTCTTTCTCTCTCCCCCTCTCACCTTCCATCCCTCCGTCCCCTCTTAGTACTCATTAAATATCAACTTTACAGAGAGCGCTGCATCCGGACGTACGCGATGCAAACTTGCACGCACGCGAGCTGAATTATCAAGTGCGCGCCGAGTTGCAGAATGCTCGAATTCTCGCGGCCGCGCGAGCACGATGCGGATTATATTGCGGATAAACGGGCTGCCAATGATCGATTACGAGGAAAACATAATAAACCGCAGCCGCTTTTAACTGCGCGGCTATTATAATATCGAGCGATCTAACATAATCCCAGGTAAGCTCTGAATATGGAGCAACCGGCGCACTTTCGATCGCTGGAGAAGCTAATCGGCCAGCCGAGTCCTCGAAAGCGGCGCGCATTCACCGCACTTTCCCGTGTTTAGGCGACGTGTACGTGTGCGTTTATGCAAAAGTCTCACGTAATCCGCTTAATTTATTATGTTCTCTAATAAAAGCCCGCAGCAGGGAGAAGTTGGCAGGCATTCAAAGAGAGAAAGAGAGAGAGAGAGGGAGTCGAGAATAATATCGCGTAATTGAACTGAAACGGAAATCTAAAACTAGACCGGAAGATGTGTCGGTGATGCAACAAACTTTCGCGGTCAAATCGGCGTGACGTCACGCGCTGCGACATTTTCCCTTGGAGGCGCGACGTCGCAGGTTTTATCGAATATTCCGCGCGACGTGTGTCGTGTATTTGGGTAATTTCGCCGCGAAGCTTGAGAAATGGTGTTTGCAGCGTTTCGCGCCGTTCGGTGACTGTTTCAATTGTTGGCGAAGTTTGCGCGAGCGAGCCCACGAGCGAGCGCGAGAGAGAAGAGAACGTTAGTAGTACGACACATTTCCAACGAACATTTTCGTATGACAAATGATAGCGTGGAATTTAACGGGTTAATTTGTAGCGTCTCTAAGTTTCGCATCGGCGGCGGGGGCGCTGGCTTGACGCGCCCTCGGAAAATTATGATGTCTGCTACGAAACACGGAAGAGTAATAATCGGAGCGTATCGTCCTCGAAAGCGTATGCGCCCTTTGAAAGTACCGGCAGGTATGTGTGTATGAGGGTATGCATGCTTGCATTCATAGATTTCGTCGAAGAAACGCCATTACGATCGCGATTTACTTCGAGGAGTTCTTTTTCACGTGAGATCTTCCCGGTGTCGAAATTCGACACGTCCGTTGACGGGAAACACATGTCCAGGTAGACAGGTGTACGTAAATCTAGTACCAAAAAGTGCGCTCAAGTTTAGCCCCATTTTGTGACATTCAAAATTTTAAATTATTTTTTATAAAGTTATAGCTATTCATGAGTGAATTAAAGATAAGTATCAAAATGATGAAATATCTCGCGAGGGGGTTGCTTGAGATTTCTTCTGATAACCAAATATCTTTCATCACAATAATTTGTCGCGATATAGTTCTTTTTATCGTGATGATTCACGATATTCCGATAGCGTGATTACGTCTTATACAAAAGAAATTTTAAGAACAAAGAAATTAAAAAATGTTTCTTGAGCAGAAATCTTCCATACAATTGTCGCGCTGATGGCGACTTTTCCAAAGGGTCTCTGCGCAAAGCGAGCACCCGGTAAATTGAGGAATCACGTAGCGAGATCCATTTTCTTGAGAAAGTACCTGCCTTTAATACATGATGACCGAAAGAAACGTTCGATATCGAAGTGGACGTAGTCGTCGTCGTCGTCACGCTTTTGTAAAATCCCGTGGCCCTTTCTTTCAGGGCACATTAAGCGTCTTGAAGTGTATATAGTCGTAGCGGTACTTTAAACGGCGGATCAAACGTCCTTTGTAACAGCGTGTAAATGGCGTTGCGACAACGACGGCTACAAAAGAGGGGAGACAAAGGAAACACGAATTCGCGAGAAGGAGGCTTCGCTGCGAAATACGATTCTTTCTCTCTTTCTCGTTCTGTTCTCCGGAGAAATATATTTCTTCAATATATTCCAACGTGATAATAATTATCTCGCTCAACGAACGTTACTCTATTGTCCACGCTGAGTGTCGCGACAGCTCTTTTCAGCGAGAGGTGATAAAGCAGCTCGGAGAGTCGAAAGGAAACGTAAAAAATTACATGGAAATGATTTTTCCCGTTGTTCCGAGTCGACGATATCGCGGAACACACTTGGCCTCCTCCTCGAGTAAAACAGTCGTTTATTGCATCACGATCTCGGCGTGCGATAGTTAAACGCGCAGAAGAAAGGCCAGATAGCTCGACGGTTTCTGGGACAAATCCGAAATAAGCGGCATTAATTGGATTTTAACGTGCCAATTAAGAGCCGCAGGCCGGATAATAGGAAAAACGCGAAGCAGCCAACCGACAACAAGGATTGCATGTTTAACTATCCTAACTATGTGAATCTGGCTGGTGGAATTCGCTCTCGTACATTGTTTCTCCCCGTTGAGCATGAATTTTCACGAACCGTGCATAATAGAATCCTATCAAGATTCTAATGCGATGATCGATGAATTATAACTCGCCGGCGAGCACGACGCGTCTGACATTCTTCAATAATCGCGTAAAATTGCGATCGCTTTCGCGCGAATTCGTTTCGATCAAAAAAAAAAAAAAAAAAAAAAAAACAAAACTAAAAAATCGAACATTAATACTGCGACAGGCGATTTTTTCACGTTATCGCACTCGATGTTAATCGATTCGCACCCGGCTACTCCAAATGATACAACACGAATCATTCGTGCAACAAAGGATTTGTTTAGCGCGACAGAACGGATTTTGCAGACGCGTGCGCGCGTTTTCGCTTCAAGGTAAATTGTGTTAGGCAAGAGACACGAACCTATCACCGTCAGGTGGATTCTGGAGTTCCTGGTGGGACTCTTGGTGAAATCTACTCGGCACCTGTACTCGCCCTCGTCCTTCTCCTGCACGTGGTTAATGTTCAAAGTTGCCGGGTCCGATACCGTTCGGAAAAACGCCCGGTCGTTCAGGTACTCCTTGTCTTTCCAGTGCGACGCCTTTTCCGAATGCTTGCCGCGCATGTCGTAACTGAAATGAAGATTTTTCAAAATTGTATATGATAAGTTCTGAGGTACACCATTTAAGTAGAATATAAGATGATTTCCGCATATCATTTCACTTAATTAATTTTACACGATACACGTCCACTCTCGATCCCGAATCTCAATTATTAATATTAATATTTACCCATCATTATTTCATTCATAATTGGATGGTGCATTTTTTATTTATCTAAATGTTGTATAAAATACTGCTTCAGTCAGGAGTCGAATCTATACCTCCTCACTTATCACTTATTTTTAACATTTAATGAATCAGAAAATGCGAATCAATATAAGTGTTGATATCCTTCCATAATTTAATTATTCTTACTCGTATCCAACGATCGGCTTTTGTAGGCCTTATCTTTCTCTTATTTAAAAAATCTTTCACATTTTGTATTTTTTGTCACGTGAAAATTATTTTATTTCACGTTGCAATTCTCGTACAATCATAAACTAACGAAACTCTCTCTCTCTCTCCCTCTCTCTCTCTCTCTCTCTCTCTCTCTCTCGCTCGTTCGCATCATAGAAATAAGAAAGCGTGGAGATTTGCGCGAATTCGATGGAGTACTAAGCTAAGGAAATAGCAAACTTGTATTCACGATCGCAAGAATAGAAAAGGCTGCGGCGCTCGCGAATGCGATTCCGTATATAAACAGGAAACGTTCGCGAGAAACACTCGCACGAGCATGACTGCGCCATATGTCGCTTGATATTTTCGCTACCACGTGCAGCGAGTAGCGACTCACAATGAAAAAATAAAGCGGAACAAACGCAAAACTTCAGAACTGCAATGCACCGCGCGATGCGGGATGAGAATTTTGTCGACTCGCTCGCTCTCTCTTTCTCTCTCTTACCTCGCTTCCTCTGTGCTCTTTAGCGTGTTGAACGCTTCGCGCATATTTAATACGGACGAGGAAGTTAGATAATAAAGGACACGCGTATGTGACATAGTAGAGCGTATAATTTCACTAATTAATTTCATACGATACGCGACCGCTCCTGCGGAATGAAATTCGCATTTAAAATTCTCCATTCGAGCTTTATGCGTCCCGACGTACTTAAGATTATCGCATTTAAGTAATGCATTTAAGTGGGCACAAAACGACCCGCCAAAATGAAAATCAAGTTTCGTCAAGTGCTCGATGCAGCCGCGAGTTCCTTCGACGATTACCAGAAGCGCATTACTATAAACGCACCTCTCGCGCCTTGTTCTATTTGCCCATTTTGCGCCGGATCGGCGGAAAAATCGCCAGGTGACGGTCACCGTGTCCTGAAAACCAGACCGATTCCACACGTTTGAATGGTCGTCGTCTCGTATCGACTCTGTCGCGCTAAAAACTCCCGCACTCGCTCTCGAAGTGTTAATTAAGAATGCATCGGCCAGCCGGTCGCGCTCCACACTCCGACGCGCTCGGTTTTAGTCGAGGAAGCTGCTGCCGCTGCAGCAGCAGCAGCAGCAGCAGCAGCAGCGGTAGCCGTGTCCGGACAGCGCTTCACCGCAGATCCTCACCCCCGATCCTGCCGCGCATACCTCGTCCCCGGGACATCGGCGAAGCATCGAATTTGCGGAAATACCACGAGTGCCTCCTCGCTCGCTACCAGATTCGGCCGCGCAGCGGGGAATGGAACGAGCAGAAGAGCGAGACAGAAGGGTGGCTGGGTGGGTGGTTGGGCCGAGTGGTGGAGGGTCGGAGAGTAGTCGCGAAGGGCTAACCGGCTGCTGCGCGGCTACGACGACGATGACTAGCAGCAGGGTGGTGGGCGCGGAGGACCGGTCGCGGCGTATACATTCCTCCGGTGTATTACGAGCTGCTGGTACACTCGCCAGCTGGCCGAGTGTGTACCATGCGCCGCGCGCGCGTTGCGACTACCGGATCACCGCATGCTCTCGCATATGCCGGACCGAACAACAACAACAACAACAACGATCCGGCGACGAGCGGCCGACTGCCAGTTCTGCCGCTTTCTCGCTCTCGCTAGTTGCGTCTAAAGTGCACACGGCCGCGTAACACACAGCTTCGTAAGCGTTTACACGTGGCCACGGAAGTGTGGAGGAGGGCGAGGAGAAGGCGAACGGAAGTTGACCGAAACGGCGAAGTTACGCAACGTTCGGGGGAGTAACGGCAAACTGCCCTCTCGTAGTACGTGCTGGATCGTGCGGGGATCGAGCTTGCAGGCGGACAATCAGCCAGTCAGATTGTAGCCGAAGCGATTATTCTCGTACGGCTGCGAATTGCGTGGGCGTGTATAGTACGTCGTTGGAAACTTAAGGGTCGGGTGTCCGAGAGGTATCGGCGCGTTATGAACCCTCGAATTAACTCCGGGGAACACACCTAGCCGCGTGCACACGCGTCACACGCAGGGATCCGAGTCGACTTCGCTTCATTGGGCGTTTACACGATCGCGTGAGGAATTGGATGGCGAACTGGAAGACAGGGTCGGCGGAGAAAGAACTCTCGCGACATTCTACGTCGTGGAAACGTTCGCATCGTCTTCTATCTCGGTGGAGAAAGGCTCAGCGTTTATGTCTCGTCGGTTTTCAGTTATAGAGAGCGAACTACGTTCGCCGAGACAAATACCCGACTATCGATATCGTAATGCATTATGATGTCGTGTTAACGGTGCTGCGTGTGATACGCCAAGGTATAACAGATTAGTAGTCGGACGTCCATATCGGGACGTGGTTATGCCTGTCACAGGCCAGGGCGACCAATTATAGCGCAACATCTCTCCTCGCCATCGGAAACGTAACTACTACGTGACGTTTCCAGTCGCGCGCACACACTTCTCTCATGAGCGCGAGAGAAAGTCAAAGGCGAAGTAGCAAGAAGCGGGGACTCCAAAGAAACGGTGTCCGCGGAGAGCGTTTTGAGTTAATTTTGCACTTAAATAAAAAGCACGCGATGGAGCGTCGGTGTAATCTGTGACAAAGGGACACGAAAGAAAGAGAAGGAGTGAGAGAGGATAGTACAGAGAAAGGGAGGAAGAAAGCGTGATGAAGGGGAGGAATAGGGAAGGAGGGAAGGAGGGAGGGAGAGAGAGAGAGAGAGAGAAAGCTCTTGCAAGCGCGCGTAGATGAAACATATTTTGCATAGCTAAACATTTTGGTTTTTGTGTACTCTAGGCATGAATATCCATTCAAGAGCGGAATAATAATAAGCCGCTCCTTTCAATCGTGCTTAAAAACGGGGCCCATGGTGTACACATTCGCGATTTGAATCTTCCGTCGCGCTGAAAAATGAGATTCCTGTACCGTCGCGCTAGCCATTTGACTGTCAGATACATAGCCAACCGTACGTACACTTTGTACACTACGGAATATGAAATCAGTATATTAATGGGGAGGAAACACAGAGAGTGGGAACGGGAAACAGAGGAGAGGAACGCGATGTAACCTATCGCGCGGCATGGCGTGCAATTATAGGACACGGTATAAAGAAACAAGCGTATTACGACACAGTTTAACAACACGTCACGCACGATCGTTTATTCACGTAATAATTCACGCGTCCGACGGATGATCGTTACGCTCCCCTATTTTCTCATTTCGCACGCGCCACCCCTTTTCTGTCTTCTCCCTCCGTATACAATAGGCCGACTCTTTGTGTCTTTAATCCGACTTTAAGACGACGCTCCCTTTTCGCCGAGAATCGCAAATTCGCGAATTCTCATTCGCAACAAGAAATGTCGGAGAAGGCTAGTCGATAGTTTCGAGATATATCCAGAGTTTACGCCACCCCCGCGCTCGCGCATAGTCAACTCGGCTCGTTGACCTAGGACTAAGTTCGAGCACATCGCGTTTCGCGGGAGGGGGGGGGGGGCTACCGAGGGGGGCTACACGGTGTTGCAAAAATGCGCGACTATTTAATGCCTATAAATTCACTATATAGCGCAGCGCAAGAAGTTCCGCCGGAAAGTGGAGTCTGTTTGCGCGGGCGGCATTTCCGAAACTACCCTGAAAGTTTTAAGCTATCGCGGAGCTAGTGGGTAGAGGGTAGTTCGCAATGCTACGGTATGGGAACCGGGTCGGCGACCGGTAGCTAGCTGGCTGGCAGCTACGGTAGCAGCAGCAGAGCTACGGCGCTTCGTCGTAAATTCCTACAAATGCTGTAACAGGTCGGGCGCGCTACGACGACGGCCGTCGCTCGTTCGTCGTTATTACGATGCTGTACGTCGTTATGAATTTTATGGTTCTGCCGCCATAAGTAATGCGGGAATTTATAATCCCGTCGCTGAATGGCGCCGCCGCTCTGTTGAGCGGGCCGACACCAAATTCGCGTTGGCCCGCTCGGTTCGCGCGATTCTTACGGTTACATACATCCCTCGCGACTTGAGAGTTTTTGGGTTGCACGTAAACGAGAACGCACGTCAACGTAGGAAGATCGCGCGCTGAGGCTTGAAACTTGCGTAATCGTGTAATGCATAGCTAATAAACAGCCAAAACAGTGACGTTATATCAATGTTATCATTTTTCTCTCAGCGATCCAATTGTTATATACAGTATGTGTTATATTGTATTCTTATGTATTATTGATCGAAAACTTATGATATACTACTATTAATTACTATTAATACTATTAATACTATTAATACTATTTACTAATACTATTAATACTATTAATTTATTAATACTATTAATACAATTAATACTATTAATTACTATTAATACTATTAATTAGTGTCTACTGGGTACATACAAAGGAATCAAGTTATGATTCGTGAAATAAAAAGGGATGTTCTTTGCATGAAGTGCACGATTGGCCGACTTTTTATATGCGTTATGCAAGTTGAATAGGTAGAGAGTGACATTGTCCCTTCAGCGTCTCATCGAACTCGCTGTCGTTCATTCTAACGCGCAACGAGATCTTTCTTAAGGATGCATTGCTCGCACAGTCCTTGCCAATATAGCTTAATTTCTAATTTTTTCCAAATCTTTTTGTTATTCTTGAGATATGGAAAATGCACCTTTAATTCGCGAGCGAC